TCTCTGAAGAGGAAGAGGTCTTGGGAAAAAACAATACAAGCTACACCCAATTTGTAGATTCTCAAGAAGGAACAAAACATTTTTATAAGAAGAAATAACATGAACTGACCTAACTTACTATTCTAGTTGAGCAGAAAACATTGCAACCTTCAACTTGCACTGACTTGCAGAAGTTATTACTTCTTCACCTTGGAAAAGTTCAGCGAATCGTTCAAAATAAACAATTGCCTGCTTGTAGTTCTTTTCAAGCTCGTATAACTCACCAATTTCCTAAACCAAATATAAAGCCCAAGTTAGCTGCAGTGAATGCTTATGCACTTTCAATCCTAGAATTATACACTTTTAAGTGCATACGAGTGAAACTAAAAATCACATAAAATGGCAAGAAAGCAGCTGAAAGCTTAGAGATATAGACAAAAATAAAAATGAATGGCAAAATTAGGGATGCCAGGAGATTAACCTCATTTACCTTACAATATTTTGCAACCATGTGAAGTCTGCCATTGTTCAAACCAGAGAATCCAGAGAAATTAATCCAGACAAAATTGAAAGGGTGAGAATGAGGACTCTGTTTCCTAATTTTGAATTTCAGCAAAACCCAGATTACAAAATAGTTTGAAATCAAATGAGAGGGAATAGAAGAAGTGAGAATTATAGAGAAAGTCTTACAGAGCCGTTAAGAGGACCGTTTTGGGAGCAAAAACGGGTCGGGTCCAATCTCACTTGAGATCGAATGACGAATCCGACTATGGTGCTATTGCAGGAGTCGGGTTAGGAGGAATTGAGGAAGGAGGCTCGCAAGATCGAGGGCGATCTCAACGTCAAGCTCTCTTCTTAGGCCAAGCTCGGCTCTAGGTTCTCCCATGGAGGTTTCCCTCTCTCTCTCTCTCTCTCTCTCTACATATATATACTTACATATGTATCTATTTATACATCTTTGATTCTCAGATCTTGCTTTGCCTTATGAATTCAGTTTGCAAATGAGGTTTGATTTCAGTCAAATTTCTCTGTGATACACGGGTGTGGGAGTTGAAGGACCTTAGATATTATAAAATAATATTGTAGATCTCTTCCATTACTAAAAATGGGGGAAGGACCTTAGACTAATTTTTTCATATAAATACACTTAAAAAAATATAATATTTGTGAATTTTTTTTCCAAAACAATTCACTAAATATAAAAAATATAAGAAAATACAAAAATTTAGTACATTTTTCATATTTTTGTTTATTTATTAATTTTTAAAAATATTTTATTATTTAGATACATCTAAGTAAGGTATATCTAAAAAAGTAAAAATATTATTTAAAATTTTAAAAATATTTATTAAAAATAAAAAATATAAAAAATAAAAAACTTAATTTTCAAAAAATTAAATTTAAAAAACTGAAACTAGACACTTGTTATTTAACTTTTGAGAACATATAGGGTTCGTTTGGGAAGTGGGTTGGTTTTTTGATTTTTTGACTTTTTTGACTATTTTAACCTAGGACTAAAAAGCCTATTTTATTTTTTGTGACTAAAATAACAAAAAAAAACCCCAAACTTGGCTTCCCAAACGAAGCCATAATAGGCTAAATAGGCCAAGATAATAGGCTTAGTCTATGTTTGGGAAGTTCGGTTTGATGATTTTTTTGACTAAATTAGTCACAAAAAATAAAATAGGTTTTTTAGTCAAATATGACAAAACATCACATCCAACTCATAATCATTATATTATTTCTCTCACAAAAAATTCAAAAAAGCTAAAAGTCCATCCTAAATCAGGCTTATTAATCCTAGGTTAAAATAGCTAAAAAAGTCAAAAAATCAATTCACTTCCCAAACAAACTTGATAGGCTAAATTAGACATATCTAACTTTTGTATAAACTGTCGTTTCGAATGTAGTTATTTTTATTTTTATTTTTTAGCTAAATTTATTATAAAAAAAAGGTTAAATAGGCTAAAAAATTAATAAAACAAAATATCATATTTAAATCATAATTATTTCACTTTTTTTATGACAAAAGTTAAAAAAATCAAAAAAATCAATCCAAATAAACTTTTTAATTAGAGATAAAGAAATCAAAAAATTAAAAAGTAAAAAAATCAACCTAACTTTCCAAGCGAAGCGTGCAAACTTACTCTAAGATCTCGATTGGAAATAGGTTATTTTTGTAATTTTTTAACTTTTTATGAAAAAATATGCAGAAAAATAAAGAAGGTGATGTAACAACTTATATTAATTTTTTGATTAAAACAAAAAGTTGGCAAATAATTTTTAAATAAAAAGCAATTTTTATCCATAGAGTCAACCAACAAAATGTCACTTTTTTTTTTTTTTTTGACTAAATTATAATTAAGGCTTACCTTGAGAAGTAGGGTAAACATTAAATTTTTTAATTTTTTTTCAAAAATTTATAAAAAAAAATAAAGAGATGGTGTTATTTAAAAAATCAAAAAATTAAGGTAGCGTTTGGTAGAGTTTTGTAAATGTGATTTGAGAGTATGAGTTGTATTTTGAGTTTGTGTGTTGTGGAGTTATGATTTGAGTGTAGAAAATTTGTTTGGTAAAGAGTTTTGAAAATAGTTTTGGAAAAGAGGTTTGATTTGAGTGGGGAATTATTGATGTGACATTTGATATGTGATACAAAAATTTACAACTCATAACTAAACATACAATTCAAAATTATTTTAAAGCACATAAAAAATTAAAAAAATTTCAGAAAATATTTTTTCCGATTATATAAATCAATTGCAAAAAAAAAAAAAAAAATTACTGTTCCGGACGCCGGCCGGTCAACTGGCCGGACGTCCCGCCAAGCAAGATTTTCCCCAACAAAAGGAAAAATGCGTCTGTCAAAAATAGAACAACGCAGGTGTTTTGTGCAGAGTTCTCAAAACATCATTTGAGAATCACAACCAAACACCATGCTTAAATTAAGGTGTAGAATTGTGATTTGAAATCACAACCAAACACAGCCTTAGACTCTGTTTAGCCCATTTCTGAAACGTTAGTTTCAGAACTTGATTTGAACATAGGCTTGATTTAAGAGTTCAAAATAGAAATGCCCAAGGTTTTAAAAAACGGTAACAATCGTTACGTAACGTTGTGAGGTAACGGTTGTGGTGGTTACCACTGTCCATTACAGCCGGTATAGTAGTGTGACAGAAATTCATATGTATAACGGCCGTTTTGGTGTTACGTAATGGTCGTAACAGTCCAATAGACACTGTTACACAATTTTACAATATACTAAATAGCTTCATTTTTTCCAAAAAAAAAACAAACAAACAAAAGCTTACAAAAAGGAACAAATACTTAAGTGATACAAACCCTAAGAAAAAATCTTATATGAATTTTTTTTCTTTATAATTTTTTTTAATTTGTGGTATATTTTTTGTTTTATAATCCTTTTATTTAATAATTGTGAATATTTTTTATTTAGTTAGTTCAAGTATTGGTAAAAAATAATTTGTAAACATTTAAAATCAATTATTCTTAAAAT